GTGAAGTTAGTCTGATACATATTTCAATTCGCCTACTGTTCAGCCGATATTAATAGTCTCAATTCCTTGGAAATTTTTCTAAGAGGTTATTTGGCTTTTTGAAAACAATATCAATTATCCGCCAGGAAACCTCTCAGATTTTTTTCAGACTATTAATATCGGCTGAACAGTAGATGATTCCATTCGATTCATGAGTAGACCACATTTGTATTGGATTGTTTAAATTACAAGATAAAATTACTTAGCCTACATATGAGGGAATGGAAATCCCTTCCTCTTCCATTCCCTTTGGATATACTTCAGGCGAAGTAGGAAAATCTTCACATCAAGGGAAGGGAAGGGGAACGGAATTCCGTTCCCTTCATGTGTGGACTAGACAGTATGCTGAAAGGAATGGGAGGTGCCGAACATAGCTGGGGAGTTTTCCTATCGAAAGTGATTACACGCCCAACGTTGGGTGTGATCTGTTGGTGGGGTCACTCAACTAAATGAAATCAGATATTTAAAATTTTTCAAAACTCCTTTCCAGCTTCACATAACGAACATGCCCGGTCCCAGCACCAGAAAAACAATACAGTGGCCGCGGTAGGGTGGGAACAGAGGAATAATGTCTCCGCGGTAATTAGAAGGTCCCATCATGTTGTACAAATGTGTAGACCGCTACGTTCCCTATCCTACAGTTCTAATGGCCTCAGCTTCTGTGGCCACTGAATATATACATATTTCGCTAATGAATCTGGGGAATGGAAGGGGAACGGATTCTATTCCCTTCATATGCAGACTACGTAAATTGTTTTAAATTATAAAGCAGATGCATATTAAAGGAATGGAATTCCGTTCCCCTTCAACTCCCTTCATCCAGAGCTGCGATGAATTAGTCAAATCTACAATTGTAACATATTCTAAACGCTGAGTACGAATATGCTAATATGTTCACTTGCGACATGCTACAAACCAGTGACCGTGTGGACCAAGTCAAATGTCACATATGTCGAACTCACGTCAAACATGTCTATGTTAACAGATCTGGGTATAACAATATAATACTCATCTTCATTAAAATCCTTGAATCCATTCGTCGTGACCGAATACTTATTACCACATAAAAATATGTACATAGTGTGGCATGAGCATTAATTAGATTTCTTAAATCTTTTAATTTTCCTACCATCAACTCATACCATCAATTTCACGTTCGTTACAAATTCCTTTGACTTCCGTCGGTGATAGAATTTCAGCATATAATATAGATTAAAATATTTAATTGGTTGGAGTTTTGCAAAATTTCACTCAATTTTCATGAAAATCAAATAACCTCTGGTCCGGCGGGAGACGGGCTTATACGCTAGTAGCATAATATTTATAAATAATCGCACAGTTTCCTCCCCGGATTATTCCCGTCTTGAAGAAACTTACAAAATTATCCTTGCCTTGCGTGGATGTGCTTGATCTGGATTTTCCCAACCTCTCCTCCATCGAGCTGCCCAGCTTGAAAAGGGTCACAATTACTACGAAATGTTATGCGCCATGTCGGGAGGGGACCCATCCTAATTATTTCCTAAGCGCGATACCCTCTAGCAAAATGTCTTCCGTGGAAATGCTCGAGATCCGAAAAGTGGCACCAAAGATCGAATCGTCGTGCGAAATTTTGACAAAAATATGGCGCATTTTCCCCAATCTCAAACATTTAGCGGTTTCCTTGATAGGATCATTGGACAAAAACACGTCTCGTGTAGATTGGGGAAACATGAAACGGTTTTTCAGAAATTTACATCAGTGTCCTTCCAACGTTTCGCGATTGACTTTTCATGTCGAAATCACGTCATCCTTTTCTGAATTAATGGAGGCCATGGATGTGTCCGAGGGTCTAGATGGCGTGCAAGGTGAGTGAAATTTTGACACCAATTTGGCACAAGTAATTAAACAATTACGTAAACTTGAGGGGGGGGGTTGCAGACGTATACAATCTGCATAACTTATTTTATTTACTGCCTCTCTTAAGACTTAATAATTATTCCGAATGCATATAAATATTCACATGTGCCATTCCTGTAAATATTTAGCCAAGAGCAGTGTCAAAGTAGTAAACCGCGCCTTCAAAATGTCCCTTTACCCGGATGACCACCTATGCACCAAGTTTGAGAACGTGTTTAAAACCTGGCAGCCAAATTTGTCATTTCACGGGTTCGAGGTAAAGCTTAGTTGTAATTATTTAGTTGTATTTTTTTCATTGAAAAAGTGAAACATTTTACGTGTCAAACTTAATTCTCACTTTATCCCAACCTTTTCTAGTTCACAGTTCAAAGTTGGCGCCGTTATCCGAATGCTGGAGTTTATAAAGGAAAACAATCTCCAAGTCGCTTTTGTGGATAAAATTGACCCAAAGTACAAGCGTTTCTAGATATTGGTTTACATTACAACACTGGTTTGAAATTAATTACAAATCAATGCAACACACATAAGTACTTCAACATATTTCTAATTTACATCCACAACAAAATTCTTAAAAATTCTTATTTAAAAATGTGGGGTACATACATACTTTAAAAATGAATGTATTTTTCTCGTTTAACCTGAACAATAATATCACGACAAAACTTAATGCGACCTTCTGTACGACAAACTGTTGGAAATGACCCAATCATTTAATCATCTAAATACATACGTTCCTGAAGAAATTAATGAGATCCGTCTCTCTCAATCCCGTTTAGTTATGTATGTAACTTCACTTACAATACATATTTACATATTTGTAAAAAGAAATTCACATGATTTTCGTAGGCTTTCCCACGGGACGGGACAATCCCGTCCCGTCCCGACGGGACGCGGGACGGGACTCGGGACGGGACAAGATTTTTCGTCCCGAAGAATCTCGGGACGGGACGAGGTCATCCCGTCCCGGTCTATCGCGGTGGGGACGGGACGTCCCGAACTTCAATATTTTTCTCAAAACTCTCTCCCGTTATTGGCAAAATAACATTATCTTATGGAAATCTTTCCTTGCGTTGACCCTAAATACATATTGTAATTTTGTATTTCATGCATATGCATACAGTTAAATAATGTTTAACTATATGCATATCAGATATATTAAATATGTCTGATATTTATTTTACCTTGAGCCAGTTAAATATAATTTCCATCTCGTGTCCAACATTTTCGACATTTGAGACGCCTTATATGGTTAGTTGAGTTTTGGCGCTGGTTGTCTTTATATTTTTTAATAATTCATATTTGCATGCTACCCATCATAGTTAAAATTTATTTTCAAAAAATTAACAAATATGGATTTTAAAATTAAACAAATAATTGTTCTGACTTTTGACATGCAGGTTATATGTAAATAGGTCGAAATGATGGCGATTTCTAAACTTTCCACCATAAATAGTTAAAAATTAAATTTCGAAATTATTGGTATTTGGCCGGTCAGTGGGAGTGGTAATTGATATTGTGTAATGTATGCAGTAAGAAAATAAAGCAGCAACCCATACTGACAGCCAAGTATGTTTAAATTGATGAAGAATTAAATTTCAATTTAAATAAAAAAACCTCGGGATATCCCGTCCCGTCCCGTCGGGACAAGCATCGGGACGGGACTCGGGACGGGATGGCCTCCATCCCGTCCCGTCCCGAAAGTCTCATCCCGGTCAATCTTCGGGACGGGACGGGACAGCGAAATCCCGTACCGTCCCGTCCCGTGGGAAAGCCTAGATTTTCGTGAACTGAAAAGTTGTGCTCTGAAACATTATGAAAGGATACAAATATAGCCCAAAATACCGAATCTGACAAAACTCTGGGTATGTTGTTCTTTTTGATTTTTGCACATCCCTTTTTTGGCATCCTATTTATTTTGTATAATTTTTGTTTGATTTATAATTTACTTATCATTTGAACTTCAATTTTTCAAAACGATTTTATTTGCTTAATTTATAATTGTTAATTATGTACGAATTGCAGTTCAAGTACGAAAATTGAATATTTAAATTACTCGGCCGGGTAGACCGGGTATACTAAAACAGGCGGGTTAGGCCGAGTACCGGGTAACTACCCAGTACCCTAGACAACCACAAAATTTAAGGTCTTTGATAATTCGACAGATCGGTATTTTTCGTTTTATGTATATGTAGCTGCACCGTAGTAACTAGCCCAAGGAAGTATTTTTTATCAGGATAATCCCACTTTATTATTCAATTGAATTACTGCTTTCAATATTCGATATGGGTCCACAATTAATGACATCAATGTAAATACATTCACACATACAATAAGTGGAGAGTTACATATTTAATGGCAAAGTCCAAAAGTTATGCAAAACAACAGCTACACGTTTGTATTGTATTCGCGTAACAGTTCAACACTTGAGTAATGTACATATTAATGGTTATCAATGGTTATCAGAATATGTTTGTGCATATGTCTAGGTTATATATATCACTTATGTACAATGGGGACGCAAACCATGTTCAATTAACCATCAGATTATTTTTTGAACTAGTTAATTTGAAAAAGCAATCTTTCAGAAACAATATTTAGTACAGCGCTTGTTCAGATGCGAAAAGTTTTGTCTCATGAAATTTCACGAAAACGCGCAACTGCCGGGAAAAGCAATTATTACGTTTGGAAATCGAGCGTTTTTGCAAACTTGCGGCAAACGTTGGCGAATTTTTCACAATTTTCACGTGGCACGTAGCGCTTGACATTGTTTCTAATCAGCTGTTTTTTAAGCTATATAATCGGGGTTTAACACCGTTTGTGTCTCCATTGTCAGTGACCAGTGATGAAAGAATACCGACGAAAGGCTAAAAAACGCTACATACGTATGTGCCAATGTCATCATTATGCGCACAAATATTACCGCAGGAACATTTATACCCTTAATTAAATACGTCGGCAATCTTTGATTTTCCAATCTGACCAAAGTTTCACATTTATTCCACCAATAAATTGGGGATTAACTGCTTCATTTATATTATGGAAGATATCGATCCTGACTTTCAGTATTTCGCTGGACGTAGACGAACCACTTGAAGGAAAATGGGCTTCCAATTAATTTACAAGAGCACATTTTTTGTAAGTTCTCCAGCCTTATTTTACATTTTTCACATCTTTAAATGTACTCAGTTCACTAAAATTTTTGACGAAATTTATTCTTCCTCTGCATAAATTCAGATATTCGTGCTGACCAGGATCAGAATGGGTGATCTGGCCGCCCCTACCAACGAGTCTTGCGTAGGGAATGGGGATCCCCCAGTGCTTCCAGGAACTGTCGATCCTGACGACTAGTATAAGTCGCTTACACTGAATATTTATTTTCGTAACTGTAAATCAATTAATTTAATTTCAGCACGTACTTTTATCAATGCTTCTGGTTTCCTGATTCCAATTGCAATTGTGAATATTGGTACCTTGCTCAACTCCAATGTGGACCAGGAGGTTACTTCGATGAGTCAGCACAATCTTGCATGTTAATTAAAGGTAAGCCTCCAATCCCTAATTTGCCGGTGAAACGCGAAATTGTTATTGTTGATGAGAAATCATCACAGAAATATTTTTGGGGTGAGCAGGAATGAAATTATGATTTTTACACTACATAATATATAAAAATAATGCTACCATTTTGAAAAGTTTGTACATGACGTCTAATTTTATCTTAATTCTAAGTAACGCATACGAAATCAGGAGTCACATTATTTATATATTTATATATTTCAATGAGGCACTTGACAAAGAGTAAATTTTAGTCTGAATTTAGTATACACAACGTCGCAACTTTTGACATTACGGAACAACTAGAGAGTAAGTGGAGCTTGGGGTTCACTCCCCCTTAGAAAAATTATTTTAAAAACACAAAATCAGTTTCCTATAAGAAGGCATACGTAATCATTCAAATTGCGGGCTCGTACTCTGCGTACATATACAAAAGTAATAAATGGATTAACTCAATCTAAATCTAATCTAATCGAATTTAAATCTTTCCCCAAATATTTCGTCGTTTTCGGTTTGTCGGTGTTTTCCTCTTGTATTTTTATGGCGATTATTCGATCCTTAGATCACTATCAGTTAGGGATCATCCCGACTGTCCTTGGCAGGTTATGCGGCATGGATCTGTCAACATTTATTGAATAAGTACATTGCGGTATCCTGAAAAGGTGATACATTAGTGACTAGTTCATTAAATGAAGGTCAAAATATTTACAGGGTGGTTTAAATGTCACGCGACAAAGGAAAATTTTTCAATGGGGAAAATCCCTAAATCCCCATTAGTTACAAGATTTTGGATTAAGACTTTTATAATTATTATCAAAACTGATGGAAAACTGATGACGAAATTCTTAAAACATTGAATTTTAGAGAAAAAATTTCGGTAACTAATGGAAATTTACAAATTTTTCCTATCGAAAAATTTTCCATTTTAGCGTGACATTTTAACCACCCTGTATGTACATATGCACGCTTGCCGACAAAGAATATCTTAATCTACATACAGGTTGAATTAATAAGTTAACAAATGTAGTATTTCCCGGTCATTATTATGCTCTATATTTATAAATACAGATAGTACTTATTCGTGCCAGACCAGGCCCCGATTTAGGGGCGGGCAACCCGGGCAACTGCCCGGGGCGCCAAACCCCTGGGGGGCGCCCGGCTTTACACTATATATAGTTGAATTGTCCTGTTGTAAATTTTGAAAATCTTTTGCTTCGAGTTTTTATTTTAATCAAGTTTGGACAACTCATTGCGACAGTTCTAATTTGTTGATGCACCACTGCAATTTTTGACATGTGCAGTTTTTAAATTTTCACCCACACTCTAAATAGAGATATGCAAATCTACTCAAGGTTGAGTAAAATAGAGGACGACACGATAATGGGTAAACTTTGTTCCATGGTTGTGAAAAATTATCCAACCGTCAAATTAATGATCGAATAAATTTCACCCAATTGTTGTGTTAATCTCTATTTTGCTCAATATGTACACTCTTAGAAAAATTAATACCAGATCAATACCACGCGGTATTCATATGTGACTCTACAGTTTTGGTATTGATTTAATACCAAGCGGTATTATTTTGAATTTATACCATGACAGTATAAAAACGTCACTTGCGGTATTGATTTTTTTTGCATGATGGTATTGTTTATTGATACTGTGGGGTAGGAATCTTAGACTATGCGGTATTAAATGAGTAACTGCGGTATTAAAGAGTGATACCATAGATTAAGAAAAACAACGATTTAGTACTGCTTGGTATTCATTTTAACGTTATTTATTTGGTACAATTACAAATCATAAAATTACAAATTACATAAATATTTACAAAAAGTGGAAATGAACCAGATGCAATATAGTGAAATAAACTTAATTATAAAACTAGGTTACTTACACACAGGTTGAGCTGACTGGATCTACATACAATTTAAAAAATAAATTGTGTACATAATTCACATTTTGATTAACTTATTTTTTGTATTTTTCATGTATTTTTTAATTATAAATTATCTTACCTCCTAATTCTACAGAAAACCTCCCACTGAAATAAGTGAAAAGCAATTTGTCAATTAGCTGAAATTTGAAATTCAAGAATATCTAAACACGTCTAATGCAATTTAAATTGTCGTTCTGATTTGTAAATGTATTCACCAACCTAAAATTATCCTGAATCCTATATTCACGACCGGAACTATGAGTTGGAAAGTCGATGATCTCGCCATATAAAAAAAATAAGTTAATTACTTAATATAAATATATAAAGTAGAAAATATAACGAAATTTGTGGTTTATAAATCCTCCCTATTAATACGTAGCAAAAAATAAAACGAAAACAAAATAAATTTAAGCTTATCCTTTAATAAGAATGTTTCCATCAGAAGTAGTCAATTTCTTACCCTCATACATATAATGCACCAGCCGAACTAATTTAGAAGAACTTATTTTTAAAACGAGGACGATTTGCAACTGCAAGTGAGTACTTTGCAAATCTCGCACAAGTCTATACCGGACAGATTTGAGACTGGGTAAACACGGTATCAAATCGGTACCAGTCAGTATTGATGTTTTACCAACTCGGTATTACAAGTTAATACTCTCCACGTGCAAGCTCGTTGTATTGATTTTTCGCAATACTTTAATACCAAATCGTGACTACGTGATAATACCAGCACGACGGGATTACAATTTTTCAAGGATCAATACCCAGTTTCTAAGAGTGTAAATTCTCTAAAACTTAAATTTAAAATAATAGGTCTGGCAATAAATTTAGAATTTACGCTGGGGAGCAAAATAACTTGTATGATATAAACACTGTTCTATCTCGCATTGGTTGCATGGCATCTTGAAAGTTTGCATAATGGTAGCCCACAAGAATTGTGGTTTTATGTATATTATTACGAGTTTTGAGAAATTTCAAAGAGGAGTCACTACCCGATAAAGAATTTATTTGTGGGCCATGTCTGGGGCACAGTAGCCCGCAAGTATGGCCTATGTACCGAGTTGACATCAGGGAAACATAATGCTCCGGAGTTGATTGCCTTCTCTGACCCTTAGTTGGGGAAAAGCTGGGCCATACTTTTCCCCGAGATCATATGAATCAGGCACAGACCTGGCCCAAGTCTGGGGCGCATAGTCATTTTCGTGGTTACCCCGAATGTGGGCCACTTCTATCTACTACTAAGGTGCCATACTTAAGCCATAAATTTCCCACAGGTATGCCGAATATGTACCATACTTTTATACTTACTTATTTTTATTGCACCTCGTTAATTTCAAATATACATAATTAATATTATTTTTAACTAAATACTAAATTACAGCAAAGTCATACATACATACTGAAGAGTGAATAATTAATTATAATTTATAAGATCTCCATAAAATTTACCTACCAATGATGATGGAGGAACATTTCCACTTCATAAAACTAAACTTATTCCCATCCCCCTTTCCAGTTTTTGACATTTTAAGGGCTATTGAATGACTGAACACATGACTCAAAATCCTAACTGTAGTTTCATTCACATCAAGGCCTCCGATTTTCACCAAGTCGACCAGCTATTGAAATATTGATTATAACTTTAATTTCGTATATGACAATTGCAATGGTGAGTCTCGTATAATTTTTACCAATATTTTTCCTGACTTCGGATCGCCCAACCACTGCTCGAACTGATCCACATCTTCATCAGTTAAAAGTGGGAATGCAAAGGAAGGGGCTTCGTCCTCAATACTTTTGGCAGCAAGAAGGGTGCCAACTTTGATGAAGGGATTTACTTCAGTCTTCAAACCCTCCAAATAATGCAACACTCTTTCTCTGAAAACTAAAAGTAGTGATTAGAACTTGTAAATTAATTGCAAATTATTAATCTGCATTACATTTGCATTTGACGACGCTTCTCTGTATTGGACCTCATAGTTCAGCGGCTGACCTCTCCCGACGGCAACCCGATGGTCAAGCGCTTGTCAAAAATATTGTCACAACTTGACGAAAAGTAAATTTTACACGGAAATTCCTTCAGTTTGTTTAATAAGTCATGTATTGTGGTCATTTTTGTATCGGTGTCGACCCTTAAGTCGTTGGACACCTCGGTATGTTTCCTTGTCAGATTACTTTGCCAGTATTTGAAATTCATTAAAATTATAAACTCGTTAAAATTTTCAAACAATATTGTATGTGGTTTTTTTATACATAAAGTAAGGCATTCCGAACGAACATGTTTTCAAATTTTTGGATTTTAAAATTAGAAAATTTGCAGAATTAAAAAAAACGGTGGAGGTGTTGTCTGGATAACAACTTAAAACTTTCTCTTCGAGCTCAAATTATGAAAAATGCAAAAAATACGGGGACGCTTTTATTTTTCTTAGTGAGGCAAATACCTAACAACGAAAAAATTACTAAGTATGCATTTGACCCACCCCAAAAAAGTGACCATCTGCGATATCTCAGTCATTTTTCAACCGATTTTGATGAAATTTTGCACCGATTATTGTTACATAATATAGAAACGGGATCTGATCCGACTAAGGGATTACGTGATCTTGACCGGAATTATGGGCAGAAATGTAGCCTTAGAAACACATTTGTAATTATTGCTAGTTACTAGAAAACTTTATCAAAAGTTTGATACCCACGAATTGTAGGGCAGTTTATCCCGAAAATTTTAAGTATAAATATATCAAAATCCGTTAAGAATTGGCTTAGTTATTCCAATTTGAAGTTCAGAAATTCCTGCTCGTGCTACGAATCATTGCCATTGACAACGACGCAAGACTAATAAATTGAAAACAAATTACATTCAAAACTGTAAACAGCATAACTAATTGTTTCTGTAACATGCTTGGTAAACTGCGTGAAATTGTTGTTGGTTTTGCACCTCCAGATCAGGTCTTTTGGTGTTTAGTAATCTAGGCCGGACATTTTGACCAAAATGATATAAATCGGTTAAGAAATAACGGATTTATTCAATTTTAAACACCCAGAATTTAATAAAATTATTCCGGATCAAACTACTGAAAAGGGGTAGTGCAATGCAGTCATCCAATGGACAATCTAATTCCCCAATTAAAAGTTATAAATAAACAAGGTCCCTAAAAAGGGGAAATCTTAGTGAGGGAGTGCAATCACAACTAATAAATAAAATTAGATTGGAGAATTTTTGCATCACCGCTCTCGGTACCATTTTTATTACTGGAAGCATTAATCGTTTAAATAGAACACTTGCTCCCTCAAAAGGTTCGATGATTTTGCATAGAGTAGCCAAATTAATATATGAAGTTGAAATTTGTATATTTTTTTAAACAAATACGTAGCTCAGAATTATTTAGCCATTATATCTTACATATCTACCTCAGTTAATTTAACCCACTTCTCGCTCACTACACAGTAAAAATGTATTCCTTCCTCAATTTATTCAATAAAACTAAGAATTCATGCGCATGCAAAGAAAAATTTATACTGCATCCAGTAAAAATGGTACCGAGAGCGGTGATGCAAAAATTCTCCAATCTAATTTTATTTATTAGTTGTGATTGCACTCCCTCACTAAGATTTCCCCTTTTTAGGGACCTTGTTTATTTGTGGTGAAAAAATAAAATTGGTCCTATGGAGATATAGGTTTTACACATAAATGACCTGCATTGTCAGTATTTTTGAAGGCATATTTCCAATTGCGGCACAAGGCTAAGAGTTTATCCTCAATTTTAAGCTGGTATCGTGGGAAATGTACATAAAGCATGTGTTGTATCTTACAATTTATTCTGCAACCCAATGTACTGGAACTTGTTGATTAACAGTTTACCCTGATAGGCCAAATTAATTTATTTGTTAAGACAATAAACATAAATATGTACTTATGTAGTTACATAGGCAAGTCGATGCGCCCATAATTAACAGAATTTCAAATAATTAACGAAATATCCTGTTGTTTAATAAATTCTAAAGGATTTTATCTAACAAATCCATTTCATCGTGCTAGAATCCCATACTTCGATCGCGTAAAAACTAGTAGGGAAAATGGCATAATTTTGTAGAACTCAACAAATTACAAATTTAAAGTAAAAAATCAGGCAGCGGCAAAATATTATTCCAAAATAAAACCTTGAAATTGCTTATGTACAGTGATATTTGATCTAATTCATGCAGACGATTTTGGGTAAAAAATCCTGAATCCCGACTTTCCTAATCTTTCGAAAATTAGCAAAACGTTTGCACATTTTAGCATGTATCTCGAAAATTTGCTAAGCACGTTCCCAGTATTACCTGTATTACGGAATATTGATCTGCTCAATATTGCGCAAACTTTGAGCTATTATACATACATCAAAGCTGTTGGAGCGCAACAAGTTTGCAATCTCATTGTATATGTACGTCCATTCTAATAAGACCTGGGTAAGAATATGTTTCGAAAATATTTGATTGAGAAAAAAGCCACATGCGAGCGCCGAAGGCGCGAGCGGCTTGGGGCGCCGAATTTCTGTGCCCAGGTAAGATTTTGGGCTAGATCGGGGCCTGTGCCAGACCCAATATTAGTCTTGCACGAATATATTAAATTTAGTGAGCGCTCCTTTGATAAAGATTATGCTCCAAGCTAACGATTCAATATTTTTTAAGAAACGGATAATTGTGATTCTAGGTGTTCCTACCAACGAAACTTGCATAGGGACTGGGGATCCTAATGTGCTACCAGGTTTTGTGGATCCAAACGACAAGTAACTTTTACGCGCTTCCCATACACCCAGTACTTAATACTACGTACAAATACTCATACCTATAAATCAATTAATTTTATGTACACAGCACTTACTTTTATCAATGCTACTGGTTTACTGATAACTCCTGCTCATGCCAATATTGGTACCTTGCTCAGCTTCAATGTCAACCAGGAGGTTACTTCAATGAATCAACACAATCTTGCCTCTTAATTAAAGGCAACCCTCAAATTCCTACATAATGTCCTAGTGTTGTACTGTGAAATGATTTAGTCAATAAATTATAGGGGCCATTGGACTAACGGATTTGCTGTAACTTTGAAAACACGGGCGAAAGTGATCCATAAACTTGACGCAAATGCAGCGATGCAAGGATAAACATTGGCATTATCATTCACTAAATCAAATTACTCTTATGTACAGATGTTAGTATCAAATTTCAACAGTATTCATTATGCATGTTCCTTCGTTTAATTTTTCCATATGTAGTCACATGAAATACATTTAGTGAATAAAAATTATGCACATATGTGTGCACGTATATTACATATATGTGCATATACATATAGATACATATGTAGATAAATTACTTTACCCGAGAGCTGAGAAGGAGAGGTTTACATCTATATAGACGGCTTCCATGAGCTATCGCCGGTAAAAAACATCTAATTTTATTTTCCGGTGTTTTAGCTCAAAAACATGTTCAGCGGGTCAGAACTATTGTATTTTATCAGTTTTTAAAATTTCCATGACCCCTTCCATGTAATGGCATGGGCGAAAGCAGTTCTTTTTTCGACAATATTTGTCAACTTTCTCCCTCGATTGTCTTCAACCTGTCCTTGGCGGAAAATTCCTGTGGGCGTCAAAAAGATCGTACACGGTCCGACCAAAGCTCATTTTTCTTCAAAACGCATGTCGTATCCGATAAAAAATATCGAATAAAAAAGTTCAAAAGAAATTATCCACAAATTTTTTTTTTCGACGCCTCAAATTTGTTCACAAAAATAATGGTGACCTTTGACCTTTGTGTGATATTAAAAATCGGCGACGAGGAAATTGTCCGTATATACATACTTTTGAGATTTTTGTGCGGAGTTTGAAATTTTAAAATTTACGCGATTATGCCGATATAAAAATTATGTCATCGTAGCATTAAATTTGTTACATACTGTATATGCATAAATCATAATTTGTTTAAAAACGCTATTAGATATTTAGGTGAGGCGATATAAAAGTCCCGATTTAAAAAATGTAGCAAGAAATAAATTATTTTCACCTTATTTTCGTGGCTAATTGTGCACACAGAATTTTATCCAATGCTAAAATCCATCTTTTTATCAGTGTCACCACCCTCAGAATGTCATAAACATTGAAAACTGGCATATATTGAATTTCGAATAGCTGGCCAATCAATTAAGCTCTACAAATTTTACAAATTTGGCCTAATACATAGTTCAGTTTCTAGACAAGTTTGAGGACCCAGACATACCAATGAAGCACCCAGTACATATATTTCACCATCAGCACATGTGCTAAAATTCAGTAATTGTATGCGTACATACATAATTAATCAAATTATAAACATAAATATGTATGAAGGCTTCTAGTATTTAATTAATGACAAATTCATACCTATGGCATTTGATGCAGGGCCCGTGAGAGGGGCGGGCAAGCCGGGCAGTTGCCCGGGGCGCTGAGGCGCCGAGGGGCGCCAACAATTATATAATACGATGCGAAGTAATTTATGAGCAATTTATAAGCTTAGTAAACAAATTTTTGGACCTGATTGATGAAAAATTCATCTTTTGAATATTCTGTACAGCAATGAGTGATATTTTTCAGTTGCCTTTGAGTAGTTTTTCTGGCTTAGATTTATTTGGTTCTTGTTATAAAATCCCTGAAAACCTGCAAAGCTTATTCGGTATTTTGCTTTTATGGGATTTTTGTAGGTCTTGAGGCAAATTGAATAAACTCCTTTAAACTATTACTTTAATATTAATCAGTGATAATTAAATGTTTTGACTGGAATTTTGAACATTTTCATGCGTGACATGAATTTTTAATACCGTTAACATGTTCTCGAATCCTAGATTCTTGAATAAATCAAATTTTTTAGCCTTGGAGTAGTGGTTTTTAGAAAACCCAGGTTCTTTTCGAAAGGGTGATGGGAAAATTGTTAAAATATGCATGTTAACAAAGTTTTCCATATTTATCAATTTTTAAGTTTGTCGACTTTTATGAGGGCTGAGCATTTTCCAACCTTTTTCCCAGGACAAGGGATTAAAAGGGTCCTTTTGTTTTTATGCCTCATTAGAAGGGACACTTCGTTTGAGCATAACTCGTAGTTTGTATGGTCACTTCTGACCACATATTATTACATATGTATGAATGTCTCCTATGTACTGTCAAAACCTTAAAACCAAGTTGTTTAATAAAAATCACCATCAGTCTAAAAATATCTTCCAGCGAGATCATTTTTATTTTCATGGTAGCAAAGCCGTTAGTTTGTATGATTCATATTGTTCATCTCAACCTGCCTCATTGAGTGTCTCAAAAGTGCCCCAGTCTCAGAGTCTGTTAAAGTCTCACAACGAGAAGAACTGTTTCCTGTTCAACACTTGATAAACTGAAGTAGATCAGTGTTATTGTTGTGAAGTGAAAAGGTCAATTCATCAGTTAATAATAGCAGTAAGTCTCCACTGCCCAGTGCCAGTCTGGACGGAGTAAGCCTGTAAAAGTGTGCCGTGAATTGGACCATTGTTTGGACAAGAGACATCAACCCTTTGACTCTACCCGAAGCTGAACCTTCCGCCCGAGGAAGAGTTTTATTGAGGACGACCACTCTACCCAAATCCTGAGTTCCCGTCTACCAAATCTCGACCTTTTTCGATTCTACTGCTCTTTATTAGGCAAAGAGAAGGTAACAAGTCTATTTCTGTTTTTCGCTTCTGCTTTCCCTACTCCACAACGACAAGATGACATCAACAATCAAAAGAATAGATGTTACGCACATTGTCAAGCTAGACGACACCAATTACGCGAGGTGGAGACTTCAGATAACTTTACTTCTCAAGTCACATGACCTGTGGGAAGTGGTCAACGGCACTACCCAACGACCTACAGATGAAGCACAACAGCCAGCATGGGATAAGAAGGATATACAAGCACAATCCATCATTGTCCCCACTCTCAGTGCCACTCAAACAAATCATATTTATGACTGCGCTACATCAAAAGCAATGTTTGACAAGCTGAAAAGCATCAATTCAGATTCAAGCTCGCTTAACAAGCAACATGCCATGGCTAGATTCTTCAATTACAAAATTGGCAAGAGTCAGTCATTGATTGAAGCATTTGCAGAGGTGGAAGAGCTGGGCAGAAGACTAAATGAAATGGGAGTCGTCATGCCTGAAGCATCCATTGTCACAAAGATTGTCTCAAGTCTCCCCGACGAGGAGTATAATGCCTTCAAAAAGGCATGGGACAGCGTTCCGGATAAGGACCAGAGCATGATAATGCTACTTGCCCGTCTGAAGAAGGAGGAGTTGGAGAGGAAGGAATCCAAACCAGCAGCAACCAATCAAGATGCAGCAAAGGCATTCTTGACCCATGACCAGAAGAAAGGCAAGAAGAAACAGAGCATTGAAGAGTTGAAAAAGGCAACAACCTGCCATGGGTGTGGGAAAAAGGGCCACTGGAAAAGGGAATGCAGGAGTAATCCACAAAATCAGAGCAATAAACCTTCAGATAATCCCGCACAAGCCAATAGAAGCCCTGGGAAAGCGTTCATGCTAAATGCAATACAAACCCCCATGCAAGCACCCGTGACTGAACAAATGTGGCTAAGCGATTCTGGAGCTAACCAGCATGTCTGTGGAGATAAGGCATGGTTTACAAGATATGAAGAGTTTGACACTCCCAAGTCAGTCTTCCTAACGGACAAAAGGGCTACACAAGCACTAGGAAAAGGGACAGTGACACTTGACGCTTACATCAACGGCATATGGGAGGAATGTACCATAGATAACGTGTTGTACATACAAGGGGCTGTCAACCTTTTTTCTGAGGGATCAATGGCTAAGAAAGGGTACTCCATCGTCCGTGACAAGAATGGAGCAACATTTTATCAGGATGGACGGTTTAAGGGGCCAAATGCCGAGTTCAAGAATGATATGTATGTCATGAAGTTTCGTCCCACTTCACAAATTATTGCTGCATACATGCATCCCGTGACTAATGCTAAACTAGTTAGTACAGGACAGTTGGCAATTGAATATGTACATACCAGTGAACAAATTGCAGATGGATTAACGAAGCCACTACTGAAGACCCAGCATTTCAAGATGAGACACGATCTCAGTATGGAAAGAAATGAGACAAAGGAGAGCAAGGACAACCCAACTAAAGTAAAGAGAGGTCCCCTCCAAGCCAACTTCTCACTGATGAGCCTTCTCACCATCCTTCTTATGTTTATTACGCAAGCTTGTGGGGTGACACATCAGAATGCGATCCCTTTACTATGGAAAAAGAGTCCAATCCCAGTTACAACGGGATATAACCAAGTCCACTTGCTCGTCAAATTCATGAACCCGTGCGAAATTTTAACACAGGATCTACTCCATAAGGATTTAAGTGCCTATGCAACCGAGAAATGTAACAAAATATACGACGAAATGTTCCTGGATGAGCTAGAAAAAATGTGCCCTAAAAGAAAATTCTCCGATCATATTAATTTGCGACATACCAGAGAGATTGGACGAAGAGTGAAGAGAGTCCTCCCATTACTTGCAGTTGGAGTAATAATTGGTGTGACTGTCCTTGTAGCCGGCTTATCAGTTGGTGGAGCAATCAATTCGTTTGTTCAAACTGGAAGAATCTCTGCTTTGCAAGGAACAGTAGCGGAACAAAGAGAGATGCTGGATGAATTGGAACGTCGCGTGGAAATATCGGAAAGAGAGATTGAGAAGCTTAAGGTTAGCCTAAATGCTACACTAGAACAGTTTCAGCTACATCAGCTTGATCACGACGAACTCAAGGGAAAATCCATTGACACCAATTTCGCAATTGCCTACCTTACCAGTCGCCTCATGATAGGTAGAGAAATAATTAGAGAAGCAACAAGACAGTGGCGGCGAGGAAAAGTTTACGCACCACTAATGGATTTCTTTAATTTTCACGTTACCCTGTGGTGATGCTTGCCCATTCAGCTTCGCACAATCTCAAAAGTGCGAAATATCAGATGACAGAACCAAGCTGTATGTGGACTTCACAGCAACTGAAATTAACAAAGATTTGCAACTCATCGAGGCAGACTCCTTCGATCTCAAAGTTGAAAGGGAGAATGAAACCTGCGTTCTAAAGTACAAGGGACCCCATAATGCCATCCTTTCTACGAAAGATGACTGCGTATACTCCATCAATGTTAAGGAGCCTACAACCCCCGACCTAATTGTTTCGCCCACTCGAGGATGCACGCCAACAGCGAAAACAAAGAACTCCAATCACTTTGACATAGACCACTGTTATGACAAGAACCTTGCTGAACCATGGGATTTTGTAC